ATCTGGGATATATAGCAAGATGTCCCCAGGAAGAACCAACCTTTAAGCTTAATATATCTCTTACTGTATTTATACAAAATGACAAGAAATATTATAAGAAGTAAATTTCCTATATTTGTTTAAATGGATTACTAGCTGAGGAAGGGCTGAAGCAATAGCACAGCAGTAGGGCGTTTGCCTTGCACGCAGCCAACATGGCCGACCCGAGTTCGATTCCTCCGCCCCTCTTGGAGAGCCTGTCAAGCTACCGAGAGTATCTTGCCCGCACGGCAAAGCCTGGCAAGCTCCCCGTGACGTATTCGATATGCCAAACACAGTAACAACAAAGTCTCCAATGGAGACGTTACTGGGCCCGCTCGAGCAAATCGATGAAAAACGGGAGGACCGTGACCGTGACCAGCTGAGGAAAGGAGAAAGCAATACACTCTGGATGGAATCCCTCCCTTGAGCAGATCTCCTAGTAATCTGGAGTGCTGAACCCTCAGATGAGATTTTGTCCTTGAGTTAATCCCCTAGAACTTCCCCTGAAGGAGTGGCTTTACCTCTGTTTGTTGTTATGACAATGACAATGTTCAATTCTACCTATGTGTACCCCCACCCTCCATGATTTCTATTTAACTATGCTGTAAGGGGTAAGAGAGGGAGAGAACTTTGAGGTCTATGAGGAGAGTAGGATGATGGAACTATGATGACTGGGACTACGACCAAAACTACGACTTTGATTGTGCTGTAAGGGGAGAGATTGAATTACGCGGGGGAGAGAGAAATAAACTTTCAACCAGCCTGGGGCCTAGTTTCTCCATTTCCGGTTCTTCATCTGTCCTTTGCCATGGGCCTGCCAGGGGAACGGCTCTCTGCCACCAAAACTCTCGAGTCCCTTATGGCCCCACATTTTCCTTTGGAAACTCACACTTATAAAAGTTTATATAAAATTTAACTTTTAAATTTTCTACTGCTTTCTGCATTGTTTCCTCCAATTTATTCATTAGCTTCTCTTTCTGTCTTTCATGTTAGAATCTTTGCTCAGATGGATGGTGTTCACATTTAAGATTCATGTTCTAAAAATGCCGATGGAGAGGGTTAGGGAGATAGCCTAAAATGTTGCAGCACATGCTATGTGTGAGGGAGCCCCGGGATCTATCCTTGATACCTTAGGATCCCCTGACTCTGTGGGGAGAAGCCCCTGAGCATCTCCAGATATCACCCCAAAACAAAGCTAAACAAAGCAATTTAAAAAGCAATAAACAGCTGGCAGCGAGCTGTATGTGCCAGGCTAGGTTCCAGCTGTTCACAGGGGAATTCACGGAGATCAGTGTCTGTAGGTTTCCGACTTGGGCTGATCTATTCCCCTAAAGAGCAGTCTTCCTGGTTAGGGTCTGAAACTGGCAGGCAGCTTTGTGAAAGGCAAGGAGGGGATGGATTGGGAGCATTTGTGTCAGGTCATCCTGTCTTACCCAAGCCCCTTTGTTCTACTATACTCTCAGCTATGCTGGATGTCCTAGATCTTTGTTAACCCCGAGATTGACCATCTTCTACCTACTTGAGTACTTCTCATACTCAAACATGGTGGCTCACTGATTATTGAATAAATGTGCAGTCAATCTCCATAGACCATATACACTCCACTTCTGGGGGGCTTTTTTGAGGGGGGTCACATCCAGTGATGCTCAGGAGTTACTTCTGGCTCTGTACTCATAGATCACTCCTGGCAGTGCTCAGGGGACTCGATGGAATAACAGGGATCCAACCCAGATCAGCTGCGTGCAAGGCAAACATCCTACCCTCTGTACTATTGCTCTGGTCCCACACTCCACTTTTATTTGTTTGTTTGTTTTTGCTTTTTGGATCATACCCGGCAATGCACAGGGGTCACTCCTGGCTCCCGCACTCAGGAATTACTCCTGGCAGTGCTCGGGGGACCATAGGGGATGCTGGGGATCGAACATGGGTTGGCCGCATGCAAGGAAAATGCCCTACCCGCTATGCTATCGCTCCAGCCCCCCACACCCCACTTTTAAAGGTTCTTCTGTCTCTAGTCCCTGAGATATTGGCTCAGATTGGCTTCCTTTCTGTTGCCTCCCATCACTTTTTCATGCTGGGCTGGTATAGGTTTCTCTCTGCTGTTGCCTCAGTTCTCCTTATCACTCACTAGTCTTTCCTAACTTTCACAACTTTATCTCCTGTCCTCTCCGATTCTCTTTATGCTTGTGGGGCTCATTTGTTTTTAAATTCCTTCATTTTATTTTACTGGACTATTGTGTTCACTCTGTTATGTTTGGCCTAGAAAATGCTTCCAAATCATTTTACCAAATGAAGAAAGAGAAGTCTGGTGCTCACTCTGTGCAGAGTGAAAGTATGAAAGACTGAGATACTCTTTCCTTTCTCTCTGCCCGGAGGTTCTGCTGACACCTAAAGTGCCACCTCCTGCACCACCACTGACTTATGATTAGACACACCTAAGGGAGCTGTTCCTTGCATTGACTTAGAAATTATGGCAAGGAAAGTTCTCCACTGTCACATGAAAATACACTGTAAAGAAAATTCCTTTGTTGCTGTTGTTGCCTACTCTTGTGGAAAGGAATTTCAGGAGGCAATAAGTAGTAAGGTTAAGAAATTTTAAATAGGAAGAGAAAAGAAAATGCACTCGAGAATGCAAGCTTTTCCAAAGAGAGAATCCCATGAAGTAGAAGAAAAGAACACAACCCAAGTTGCAACATGGATAATTCCAGAGGAAAATGCCAAACATACTATTTTTGGGGGGGTGGGGGGTTGAGGGGAAGGGACACAACCAGTAGTGCTCAGGGCTTACTCCTATTTTGTGCTCTGGGGGCACTCCTGGTAGGGTTGGAGGGACTATATGTGGTGATGGTGGAGGGCGGGGTTGAAACTGATCCTAGATCTGCCAGATGTGAGGCAAATGCCCTAGCAGCTGTACTATCACTCCAGCTCTGCAGGGGGTTATATTTTGGTAGTGTTGCCAGGGCTAGAACCTGGGACTTCTTGCATATGAAGCAAGTGATCAAGCCCCTTAAGTGATTCCCCCTGGACTAAAGAAAATTTCTCTACTTCAGGAATAGAATGTTTGTTTGTTTGTTTGTTTTTAGGGCCCGGGAGATAGCTCAAAGGGCTAGAGCACATGCTTTGCCTGTGGGAGGCCCAAATTTGATCCACAGCCTACATGGTCTCCTGAGCGCTCCCAGGAGTGACCTCTGAGCACTGAGCTGGGAGTAGACCCAACACTGCTAGGTGTGGCCCCCAAGCAAGCAAAAAAAAAATTTAGATATTTCTATTAAATCACCCTGAGATAGACCATTACAAAGCTGTTCATAATTGGGTTTCAGTTATACCAGTGTACATTTCCCACCAATGTCCCCAGTTTTTCTCCCCCACCCCCCAATCCCTAAACCCTACCCCCCAATGCCTGCCTCTATGGCAGACACTTCTCTCTCTCTCTCTCTCTCTCTCTCTCTCTCTCTCTCTCTCTCTCCCTTTCTCTCCCCTTTTGAGCATTGTGGTTTGCAATAAAGATACTGAAAGGTTATCTTCTATATCCCTTTACCTACTTTCAACACTCAGTTCTTGTCCAGCGTGATCATTTCCAACTACTATTGTTATACCGGTCCCTTCTCTATCTTACCTTCCCTCCACCCCATACACACTTGTGGTAGATTCCAACCTTTTTTTTTTTTTTTTTTTTTGCTTTTTGGGTCACACCTGGCAATGCACAGGGGTTACTCTGAACTCAGAAATTACGCCCGGTGGTGCTCAGGGGACCATATGGGATGCTGGGAATCGAACCCAGGTTGGCTGTGTGCAAGGCAAACGCCCTACCAGCTGTGCTATTGCTCCAGCCCCAGATTTCAACCTTTGACCAGTCCTCCTGGTCCCTGTTTTCCTTGGCATTGGATATTAGTCTCATACTATTTATTATTTTTAGATAACACAATTGAGTGCAGTCATTCTATATCTGTCCCTCTCCTTCTGAGTCATTTCACTCAGCATGATACTCTCCATGTCCATCCACTCAAAACATGATTTTTACAGAAAAGTGAAAAGAGGAAAATCTAGGAGCCCCCAGGTATGGCTCAGTGGTAGGGTGCACTGCTTCGCAGATGTGAGGCCTTTGGCCAATCTCCAGTATCTTCTGTCCCCTTGACACAAACCAGGAAAAAAATCTGCCACCAAGAGACAGTCACTCTTGATTTATTTTTCCAGAATGATAGAAATAAAATCATGTGACATTTTATTATTTTTTAATCTTTTCCATGAAATACATTTGGAACATCTTTAAACAATATAATTTTAAATGTCTGTGTAGCATTCTGTTATACAGATGTTCTCTGATTTATATAATTGGTACCTTCTTGTTGTGTTGTTGAGTTTCTTCTATTATATTACTGTTATATATGGGAATACAGTTAACATTTGTATAGTCTGATCTTAGACACATTCTTTAGACTGTGGAATTAATTTCTTGCAATGATCATATGCAGCTATTTCAAAAGTGATGCTTGTTATTTGCAATGCTGTGAATGGAACTATGTGTATTTCCATGACTGGAAAATATAATAAATATATAACTGATCTATTATTGGTATAATTGAATACTTGAATCCATAATCATGAGTTTTTTTTAAGATTTCTTTTTTTTAATTGAGAAAATAAAGAGGGAAAATGTCAACAGTAGACCTATACTCAAAGATAATCAGAACTAGCAATTTTCATTGAACTTGGTGATTGCCATGCTATTTTTATAACTTGAGGTACCGTATTCATTATGTAAGGAGACTCTCTGAAGTTTTGGGGGGAATCTGAGTTGGTTTATGAGAACAGGTAGCTCCAGAGAGCAGTTAGCAGACAAGGTTCCATTCATTGTTGAGACGCTGCTTGCCTTAATACAAATGAACTCAGCCTTTGATACCAGTTGCTGTCCCCTCACCCAGCTAGGCGTCGATTGGCTGGTCTGAGTGCTCAACCGGTTTCTCTCACTCTTTTTCTAGGTGTCAGAATTGGGAAGGTGGAATCGGTGGGGTGCCTGGCATGGAAGCCCACGGTGGTTATACTTTCTGTGGCCTGGCTGCATTGGTCATACTCAAGAAGGAGCGCTCCTTAAACTTGAAGAACTTATTAGTAAGTGTTTGCTGCTCTGTCCTTTCAGATTCCAGGCTCCTGGTGACGGGGCTGCTCAGATACACAGGCTCGGGGAAGTTTGTCTGTGGCAAGGACTAACAATTCCTCCTGCTTTGAGCTCACAAATACAGTGCTGGATAGAAGCTGTAGATAGAGTTGTTGTAGCTGTCAGCGCCATTCAGAAATGTGGAGGGAGTGAACAGCTGCTCTCCATCTTGGCTTCCTCCCTGTCTGTCTCCCTGCTCCAAACTTTCTACAGAGTGTGTGTGAGACCAGCTCCAGAGTCTTAGTGGATCCTTCCGAAGACATCTGGGACAAACCAGAGTTTCTTCCTCCTACCTCTAAGTCAAATGTAACTTTACTTTCCTAGAATTACCTTAGACTTTGTATTTTAAAACCAACAAGTTTTGAGGCGCATTGAAGTTATTATTTCCTACCATATATATGAATATTTAGCACCTGTGTTTAATTGAGCTGGGCATAGCTAGCCATTGCATTGAGTGGGTAGCTCAAGAATTTGTATTTGGGCTCAAAAAATTTTTTTTTGGTTGTTGTTTTGGGGCCACACTTGGCAGTGCACAGGGTTTATTCTTGGCTCTGCACTCAGGAATTACTCCTTGGTGGTGCTCAAGGGACCATATGGAATGTCAGGAATCAAACCTGTCTTGCCTGCTTATCTCTTTGGTCCCTGGACTCAAACTTTTGAGTAACATTTAGGATAAACTCATAAAATGTTTTCAGGGAGTCACTGACTTATAGTGAAACTACCAGGAGAGTCCTAATGCACAAATATTGACACAACCACAGCCACCAAGAAGAAAGTGTCTGTGCAAAGCATTTATTCCTTCAACCATGACCTCAGAGAAAACCACCTGCAGCTGATATTTACCCAGGTTCAAATGCCAGACTCTCACTGCGGCATTCATTTTACACTTTCAGAAGTTTCTCTTAAGGGCTGTAGAGGTAGTCCAGCAGATAGCACATTTGCCTTGCACGTGGCCAGCATGGGTTCAATCCCTGACCTCCCATATGGTCCCCTAAGCACTGCCAGGAATAATTGCTGAATGCAGAGCCAGGAGTTACCCCTGAGTATTATATTGTTTGTGGTTTGGGGAACATACTCATACTGGTGGTGCTTGGGGGACCCATGTGGAGCCAGAGGGAACATGGACCCCTGGAATGCTAAGCATATGCTTCAGTGCATTGAATTGTCTGTCTTTCCCAACTTCTAGTGTATTTTTAAGAACTTGGAATTGTGACTCAAGTGGTATGACTTTGAACATGAAGAGTATCTAAATTCTACAACTGTTAACTGAAGGGAGGGCTGGATCCCCTTTCCACAATAGTTACTCACAGAAATTCAGCCTAGGACTGTCTAGGGTGAAATACCTGCACTGTGTCCTTTTTATTCACTAAAGCTGTCTGTTAGGCCATTGCTGGTGGCAGAAATTTCCTTGCAGGGCTGGGAGGAACAGGTCATTATCTGCTTCAGACAGTTGTTCTGCTCATTCCTCAGGCCGCACTATCTTGATCTGAGTAATAGACTGTGTTTAGAAAACTTGTAGATAAGTGAGGAATGGTGGTTATCATATATGGCCACCAAGTGACATTAGAAGCCAGTTCACAGGTTCAGAGCAAAAGATTTTCTTCTATCAGCCAGACAGGTTATCTGAAGAAGCTGAGGCTCTGCTGGGTTAAGCCAATACCTGATCATAAGGACTTAGGGTTTGCTACCATCCTGCTAATGTCATAGGTAAAAATCTGGAACAAGAAGGAACCTTGAGATAGTGGGGGAAGCATGTGAGTGCTCTGGTGGCAGGTGTGACACAGTGACACTACACAGTGACCTAAAGTATTAAGATTCACACCATTGTAGGTAATGGCATGGAGCCTCAATAAAAATACTACTACAATATTTTAAAAATAAGTTTGACACAATCTAATGAGACACAATTCTATTTATGTGTTTTCAACAAATCTTAGTTATGGGCTGGAGACATAGTATAGTGAGTAGGCACTTGCCTTTTGCATGGCTGACCAGGGTTTGATCTGTGACACCACATATGGTCTCTTGAACACTATCAGGAGTGATCCCTGAGCACAGAGTCAGGAGTAAACCCTGAGCACTGCCAGGTGTATCCCCAAAACTAGCTAACTAAATATCTTAGTTAAGGGGCTGAAGCAATAGCACAGAGGGTAGGGCGTTTGCCTTGCACATGTCTGACCCAGATTTGATACCCAGCATCCCATATGGTCCCCTGAGCACTGCCAGGGGTAACTCCTGAGAGTGCATTGCCAGGTATGACTCAAAAAGCAATAAAAAATAAATAAATATCTTAGTTAAATAAATATCTTGATTACTGGACATTAACTTGTCCCCTGACCCATTTGAAGCCCCAGACCCCATTTGAAGAGCAGGTATGTTAGTTGTCTGCTAAGGACTGAGCAGAGATCAGTGCTGGGCGCTGGCGGGCAGGCAAGGCAAGGCAGGGGTCTGCTTGAACGCTGCACTGCAGACAGGAAAGAAGGAGGCATCCAGGACCTTGCAGCAGTAAGATGGGAAGCCTTGCTTACCCAGAGTAGCCTCTGGAGAGCTTTTCCTGCTGTGTTTTTGCAGCCTTACACTACGTCTCTTGTTTCTCTCCTTTGCAGCAATGGGTGACAAGTCGGCAGATGCGGTTTGAAGGAGGATTTCAGGGTCGCTGCAACAAGCTGGTGGATGGCTGCTACTCCTTCTGGCAGGCGGGGCTTCTGCCTCTGCTCCATCGTGCCCTGCATGCTCAAGGTGAGCCTGAATGCTGCTGTCAGGGGCTAGATGTCTGTCCTTGCTGCCAGTCAAGGCAGGAAGCCAGAGAACCTTCCTGGGGGGGTGGAAATGTATACCTGCAGGGTCGAGAGTGCCCAGTGTGGAACTGCCTGCCTTAGGGCATGCAAGTACAGACCAGGACTTAGTACCCATGAGCTCATGGTTACTACTGCTTCTACCTGGTTGTGGTAGGAGGCGGGGCCTTACCCTGACCACCACCCCCACCCCCCAGGACTGCTATCTCAGCTGAGTGAGAAGCCAGAATTTCCAACTCAGAGCTCTCTATCCGTCACCTCAGTACTGAAACCCTTATTGCATTGTTGCGGCTGTGATAGAGGCTGGATTCCAGGGAATGCAGAGGAGAGGTAGCTGGGACTCAGGGAGCACAGAGGGGAGGGGAGCTGGGACCCAGGGAGCACAGAGGGGAGGGGAGCCAGGACACAGGGAGCACAGAGGGCTGTGAGCTGTGACTTAGAGAGCACAGAGGGCCAGAGAGCTGGATCCCAGGGAACAAACTTCCACCATATCTAGCTGACTGCATAGCTGCCCCAGCAGAAATGTTTTGACGTTCATTGAAGAAACTAAAATAATATTTATTTCCCCACACCTCTCAATTGGGGAGACATATGCTGCTTTCTGTGGAGTCTCAAATGGGATTGCAAAACCCAAACAGCGAGCAAAAAGCTCCAGAAGCTTTCCATTGCTAGCTCTTGAAACCCCAGGTCTCCCACTGAATCCTCGATTTGTGAGTGTCCATAAAATGAGGATTGTAGTGTCTTAGCGTGCAGAGATCCAGATGGCCCAGCTGGCTGTTGCTCTGTTCTCTCGGCCCAGAGGGAGTCTTCTCTTTGGAGCGGGTAGTTGGTTAATTCACTGCTGAAAAGGAGATTCTTGTCTACAGCCATACCACCCTGAACGAGCCAGATCTCATCTGAAAAGGAGTTTCTTCTCTCCTGCTCTTCCCCTCCCTACCGCCCACACCTGGGCTTGCTGCTGCTTTGGCTGGTCTTTCTGAGTCTCTTTATTCAGTTTCTTCCTTTCATTTGAGTTGTGTCCACTTGGGCACGGAATTGAAGTAAACAGCCTCCCTGTCACAGCCTGTCCCAAGATTCCTTCACCCAGCCCCACCATGCCCAGGCCTGGATCTCAGGTGGGACAGCAGCATTCCCTGACCGTAAAGTGATCTCGGGCTTGTCCACTATCGTAAGGAGTTTCAGATTCTCTGAGTGTCCAAGCTTCCTGCCAGAAATAACTTGGGGTTTTGGTGATCTCTTTCTTTGGAACTAGTAAGGTTGAACGAACCCCTGGTAAATCAGCCTTTAGCAAACCTGCCCCCTCAGGGAGAAGTAGGATGCAGGGAAATATGGAGAGAGCTGGAATATAGGATGCAGGGGGTTGCTCGCTCACACTGGGTTTATCAGAGCCAAGTTCAACGCTGTGCCCCAGAAAAGGTTGCCTGTGAATCTTGGTGCCTCATTGCCTGTGAATATGTTGAGTCTGAAGCCCCACAAGTGAACTCAAGAAACATTGAAAGTGGCAAGGATCTGAGAGGAAGAAAATCATTTTAAACATGGATAAAATGCTGACCTTGAGAGTCAAAAGGAAATGCACCATAGGAAAAATTCATAATATATTGCAATCAAAAATGGGCTGGAGCTATATAGCACAGCAGGTAGGGCGAGCCGAGTTCTCGCCCCTCTCGGAGAGCCCAGCAAGCTACCGAGAGTATCTTGCCTGCATGGCAGAGCCTGGCAAGTTCCCTGTGGCATATTGGATATGCCAAAAACAGTAACAAGAAGTGTCACAATGGAGAGGTTACTGGTGCCCGCTCAAGCAAATCGATGAACAAGAGGAGGACAGTGCAGTGCAGTGCTATTGCAATCAAAAATAGATTTCAAAGCAGTATGAGTGTAATTCTAGTCAACTGACAAGTTGACTTCAAAAATTAATAGAGGGGCCTAAAAACATCTGCCTTGCAAGAGGGAGAAAGTTGCTGGTTTTTTTTTCTTTTTTTTTTTTATTGTATCACCATGAGATACATAGTTACAAAGCTGTTCATGGTTGGGTTTCAATCATACAGTGTTCCAACACCCATCCATCTACCAGTGTACATTTCCCATCACCAGTGTCCCCAGTTTCCCTCCTGCCACTCACCATCCTTCCTCAACCCCTCCAATCCAGGAGGCAGTGAGTTTGATCTACAGACCACATACATGCGCTGAGCATGGTAGTGTGGTCCTTGCAGCTCTGCCATCTGACAAGTGACAAACTCTGGCACACAGCCAGGTGTGTGCAACCACACTGTGAGCACAGCTAAAAGGTGCCAGCATCAAGGCCAGTATAAGCACCACAACTGAAGTATTTGATCCTTGCTGAGTGCTGTGGTGAAAAGTGTGAGCACTGCAGTGAAATATGTGTGATCTTCACCCCTACTCCTGTCATTGCAACAAAGGCAGAAGGAGGGAAATTAATGGGGATTTAGTTGTGAAACTATTGGTGATGTTTATTTTCTCTCTTTTTTTAAAATTTGTATTTTCTATTTTTTTCTGAAAAAGTGTAATTAATTACATTTTTCTGAAAATGTAATCAATTTTTATTATAATTGATTTATTTCACCTCTGAAGCAAATAATTAACATTTGAAATAAGTCACAAGTGAGTAAGAAACAAATGAGCAACCCAATTGAAAAAAACAAAGGATCAGAACAGGAAGCTTTGGAATAGACAGAAAGAGAAGGTTTTATTACTTATTATTATTATTATTTTATTATTACTGTCCCCCACTTTTTAGACAAGGAAACAAGGCTCGATGAAGTTGACAAGCTTCATCATAACTGGTTGCTGTCTGCAAGGTTCTCAGAATCTTACTTTTAACCACTGTAGATGACCACGAATCAGACAAAAACCTGATCATGAAAGAAATGCAGATAGAAACTGGGCACTCTTCATTATTCACTACCAGATTGGCAGAGATTAGAATTCCCTGTTTAGGGAGGACATACCCACTGATACTACAAAACAGGTGCTTTTGTAGTATCAGTGGGGGTGTAAATGTGCATGGTTTTCTTGGAGGCAGTTCAGAGGCAGCTCTTTAAATTATTTGACTTGGGGCCAGAGTGATAGCACTGCCGGTAGGGTGCTTGCCTTGAATATGACAGACCTGGGTTTGATCCCTGGCACTCCATACGGTGTCCCAAGCCCACCAGGAGTGATCCCTGAGTGCAAAGCCAAAAGTAAACCCTGAGCATCATTGGGCGTGTGTCCCCCCAAAAACCAAACCAAACCAAACCAAACCAAAAATTATTTGACTCCAGCAAGAGCACTGCCAGAAATTTATCTGGAGAAATATCTGCAGAAATATTCACAAAGGATATATATTACAGTGGATTTTGAATAACATGCAGCCCAGCTGCCCTTCAAAAGGTGAGCAGTGAAATAATGAGGACCTTTCCACTAGGTGCTGCACAGAAAGAGAAAAGACCAGGCCCAGGGCAGCTGGGGTGCACACAGGCCTCCCTGGGGCTATGTGCACCATTACAGAGCTTTTGGGTGGGTACCTTTGAAAGCAGGATAAGAGGGCGAGGGGGACTCAGTTTTCAATATTTATGTACTTCTGGCCCTCCCGTTGTTCATCGATTTGCTTGAGCGGACCCAGTAACGTCTCCATTGGAGATTTTGTTGTTACTGTGTTTGGCATATCGAATACATCATGGGTGGCTTGCCAGGCTCTGCCGTGTGAGCGAGATACTCTCGGTAGCTTGCCGGGCTCTCCGAGAGGGGCGGAGGAATCGAACTCGGGTCGGCCATGTTCGCTGCGTGCAAGGCAAACGCCCTACCGCTGTGCTGTCGCTCCTGTGCTTTCCTTTTCAACAATGACCCTGTGTACTACCCTTTTCATTTTAATAGAGGAATAAACACCTTTCTCAAAGTTGAAGTTCCCTTGCAAGGTGGCAAGGGCCCAACTCTATAGCAGGTGAGCCCTGGCCAACTGTTGGCCCATGGGGGTAACCTTAGCATGTTGTAGGAAGTACTTAAGTAGAAGAATGCGTTATTTTTACTCTCTTAAAAGTAGCAAATGCTGGGGGTATGGTGCCACCAGTAGGTTAATCAGTACCTGTGAATGAGTTCATCAGCAGCCTGATGGTACCTTCAGACTTCCAGATACCCCAGAATTGCTGCTGTGTCTGTGGCCAGACCCCAACAACTTGGGGCCAAGTTTACCAAGAAAGTAAATGTCCAAAAGTTAGGTATGTGTGAGACACACCCACAAACCACCTCCGGCTCAGCTATATAATTGGAGGCAAGGTCTCTCTGGTTCCTGATCAAATTTCTTAACGGCCATGATCCCAGAGACTCAGAAACAAATCTCAGAATTCAGCGGCTTTTGGCAGAAATGCATCCAGACCCTGCAGTCAGTTACCAGCGCCAGGCCACCCCAGGAGGCAAAGGGTGCTGTCCCTCCTCCTGCTCCCTCCTGGTGACTCGGTGGCTGTCATCCTCCAGAGGCCACTGGACAATCAGGTTTGGTCCTGGAGTGACGAGACACGTGGGGCCTCATGGGGTGGGGATGGAGCTGGCCCTTTCCTCCCTGCCCCAATGAGACCCCGGGTCACCGCCCATGAACGGCCTCCCTGGCTCCTGACCAAGGTGCTTAGGGACCATGATCCCAGAGACTCAGGAACAAATCTCGGAACCCAGCAGGTTTTGGCAGAAATTCTCCAGATTTAACTGTTAAAATTTCAGAGTTCCAAAATCGCGCGGCCACTGCTGCAACTGGTTGACGTCATATGTTATTCATAACCATCAATAGAAAACAAATTGTCTACAGTTGCCTTTTCGGCAGATCTGAGCGTTTGGGTAAAATCCCAAATAATAATGGTGGGTTTGGTGTTGAAATATTGAATGTAATCAAAGTAGAGAGAGAGTAATGTGGAAATGATCTGCCCCACAGGTAGGGGGAGGGTTTGGCATGGAGGGTATACCGGGGTTTTGGTGGTGGAAAATGGGCACTGGTGAAGGGACGGGTGTATCATCATTGTATGACTGAGACTTAAATCTGAAAGCTTTGTCACTGCTCTCATGGTGATTCAATAAACAAATTTATAACAAAGAAAAAAAAAGTAAGGTGGAGTTCATGCCCAATTCAACCAGCCTAATCAGTGGCTGAATAATTAGCAATACTCGTACATTTAAAAAAAAAGTAGCAAATGCTGACTAAATCAGTAGGTTATTTAATTTCTCTGAAACAATAAAGAAGCATCAGGATGGTGAATTTCTGTTTATATGATTGTTATGAGCTTCTTGGATGTTCTTAGGGATGTGCCCCAGACCTGTATTTGTCCACCCATGAAGTTGAGCCACATAAGACTGCACCTGTGAATTATTGTTTAGAAAGACTTTTGATTTCTTAGATAAAAGGAACCTTAGAGATGGAAATAAAGGCATATTTTATGCAGATGCTTAATAGAGTTATTCTAAAGTTCAGTGAGTGTGGTTTTAAAAATAATAATTTTCTGGAGATATAATTTTTATACTATATAATTGACAACTCTTTAAAGTATATGTTTCAGTAGTTTTTAGAGTATTCAGAGTTGTGGAACTCTCAGGATAATTAAGTTTAGAATTTTAATTTTTTCTTAAAAAAGCTCCAACCCTGTTTAAATAATGGATTTTGTAGTTTTGTTTTGTTATGAAGGAGATTAAACTCAGGGCCTCAATATGTGAACCTTTTGTGTGCTATGTGTGCTATGCTTCTGAGCCACATTCATAGCCCCTGAATATCCTTTTTTTTTTATGCTTTTGATGAAGAATTAACAAAGAAAAAAAATCAGCAAAGTCATTATAGTTAGTATATATATCAACTATATGTATATGTATATACATGTTGGTGATTCAATAAATAAATTTACAACAAAGAAAAAAAAAGTAAGGTGGAGTTCATGCCCAATTCAACCAGCGTAATCAGTGGCACACTGAATAATTAGCACACATTACATTTGTAATTTAAAAACCCATTTAACCAAATAAAAGAGCAAACATACAGAGGAAAGTGGTGTAGTATATGATATAGGTAAAGGGTAAATATAATAAAATGCCACATTAATAAAATTGATATTGACTGTAGAAGACAAAAAAACCAATAGAAAAACATAGCTAGAAGGCAAAATTTATGGGAAATTTCACCCTAATTAATAACCAGCGGCATTCAAGTCAAAATGAATGATCAGATGCTATTTTATTTAAATTTTAATTGCTGAGAATTTTTTTTAAATGGCCAGTGCTGGAAAATTTTAACTCTTGGTGGCTATATAAAATCTTTGTTTTGGGGCCACGCATGGCATTATTTAAGGGACCATACAGTATTGGAGACCAAACCAGGGTTTCCAGCGTTCCCAAACCAGGGTTTTCTGGCCGTTTGAGCTTGCTCCCCAGCCAGAAGCTATGTAATTTAAAAAAATATTTTCTATAGTTTCACAACATGTTTTTTTCCCAAATTATATTTTATTAACTTTATTAGTATCTATTAAAAGTGTTAAAGATACTTTTTCTCTAATTATGCCCCTATGAATCTACTTAAGGGAAATCACTGTAAACACAGAGAACAAAACCTTCTGTGGCCCATTGTCGGTCTCACAGCAGCACGAAAACCTGATAGGAAAAGTGAATTAAGGTGCCTGGGAATAGCTCTGTCCCAAAGCATCTGCCTTACAAGTCTGAGGTGAGACCATAGGTTTGATCCCCAGCACCATACTGCATGCCACGTGTGGTGTTATGGGTACTGCCCTTGGTGATCCCCCAGCACCCACAAAGGGTCTGATCTCCAGTGCAGCATGAGTGTGTGTGTGTGTGTGTGTGTATGTGTGTGTGTGCGTGTGTGTTTAAGCACCGCAACTAGAGTGTGAGACCCTGGGAGAGCACCCCTGTCAGTGTGCTGGCACTGCAACCAAGGGTGTGTCACCTTCTGGTACCACAACAAAAGGAAGGAAGGGCAATACTAGAATACTTTTTATTGTTGCGTTGGGATTTTTTTGTGGGGTGGGTTCTGCTTGGGGCGGGGAGGGAAACTCAACCTGCCCCCCTCCGAGGGGTGCTAATGAAGACAGCTTGGCATGGGGCCAGGAGAGTCTGCCAAACTGCGGCTCTTTGACCGATGCCAGGGTTCACGAGGAGGGGCATGCTCTGGGACATGAAGAAGAGTATTAGGTTATGAAGAATGTGATGTCTTGGAGAGGAAAGGAGAGTGGAACCCTGGACTGTTCCAATTGGGTATAAAATAGATCCTAGCATGCACCTGCCCAGGCCTGCACTGACCCTTTGCCTTTCTGCAGGGGACCCAGCCCTCAGCATGAGCCACTGGATGTTTCATCAGCAGGCGCTGCAGGAGTACATTCTCATGTGCTGTCAGTGCCCGGCCGGGGGGCTTCTGGACAAACCTGGCAAGTGAGTGTCTTCTCCCTACAGGCTGGGGACAGGATGGGAGTGAGGGGTGTGCTCCCTTGGGACTGCTTATGAGGTTCCCATTCCACCCTGCTGCCTGGTGTGGGTGTGGCGCATCCCTTAACCTGGTACTTCCACGACACTTTACTTCCTAAGCTTTCATGTACCTCCACCACCTGCCCACCCAGATTGGAAAGCAGATTGCTAGGGTGGTGGCTTTTCTTTCCTCTCTTTGTTTTGTAGAACTAATATGGTTTTAACAGAACAAGATACGAGATGTTGTTTTTCATTTTAGTAATATCAATATCAATGCTTAAGGCCTAGGATGTGTTCTGTGCCACACCCACCACTGAAGTTCCATTATCTCTCCACCACTGTCCCTAGGTCCCTTTTCATCTTCCTCTTTCCTCTCCACCCTGCCTGCCTGCCTGCCTGCCTGCCTGCCTGCCTGGTAAATTCAGTTCTGTTGATAGAGCTAAGGGTTTTCATCAGATGGTTTCTATTCCCTTGCTTTCATTTTCATTTTTCATTTCATCATCCTGTTATTCGTCGATTGCCTCGAGCAGGCCCCAGTAACGTCTCTTTCATCCTAGCCCTGAGATTATATTCAAGGCTCTTTAGGAGAATGAGACCCATCATTGTTACTGGTATTTGGCATATTTGGTACGCCATGGGGAGTTTGCCAGACTCTGCCCTGTGGGCAGGCTACATTCGATAGCCTGCAAGTTTGCTTTATTTATTTATATTATTTATTTATATTCCACATATGAGTAAGGTCATCTGGTATTTGTCTTTCTTTTTCCTTCTGAGTTATTGTTTACCATGACACTCTCTAGTTCTAAGTTGTGGCAGAGGGCAAAATTTCATATTTTCATAGTTGAGTAGTATTCCTTTAGGTATCTAAACCACAGCACTTTATTATTTTTTTTAATTTTTATTAGTGAAACACGCTGAGGTACAGTTGTAGACTTACAAATTTTTGTGCTTGGGTTTCAGTTATACAATGATTGAGTATCCATCTCTCCACCAGTGCCCATTCTCCACCACCAGTGATCCTAGTTTTCCTCCCACACCCCCAACCCCCCCCATCCCACCCCGCCTCTGTGGAAAGGCATTCCCTTTTGTTCTCTCTCTCCTTTTGGGTGCTAAAACCACAGCATTTTAATCCACGTTATCTGTTTTGAGGCACTTGGGTTGTTTCTAGATCTTGGCTATTGTGAATAGTGCTACAATGAAAATATATCTGGAAATATCTTTTCAAACTAGTGCTTTTGTTTTCTTGGAATAGATATTAAGGAATGGAATTACTGGATCACATGGTAGTTGTATTTTCTTTTTGTTTGTTCTGTATTCAGAAGTTACTCCTTGTTCTTGGGGTTCACCTCCAGTGGTACTGGCAGACCTTGTGGTACTGGGGACTGAACCTGGGACTGCAAAACATTCATTCCAGCCCTTTTAATCACCTCCCTGCCCCCTATTTTCAATTTTTTAAAAGAAGTCTCCATTACTATTTTAACTGAGACTAAATGAATTTGCGTTCCCATCAACAGTAGGGTATTTTTCCTCCCACTTCCCCACCAGCACTGTTTTTTTCTAGACTCTTTGACAAGTCTCACACTTACTGGTGTGAGATGTTATCTCATTGTCATATTGATTTTCATTTCCCTGGTAATCAGTGGTGATGAAAACTTTTTCCATATGCCTATTGGCCATCTATATGTCTTCTTTGAGGAACTGTCTATGAGCTCCTTTCCTATTTTTAGATGGGGCTGTTTTTTGTTGCTGAGTTTTGCAAATACCTTATATCTCGGATATCAGCCCTTTGCCAATATGTTCTCTAATATAGTAGGGCATCTTTTTATTCTCACCTGAGTGTCTTTTGCAACAAGTGGCCTTTTCACTCGATGTGCTCCCATTTGTTTATGTTGACTTTTACTTTTTTCTTTGCCAATGGAGTCAAATCATAGAAGTCTCCTCGGAGACTTATATCATGGAGAATTCTGTTTTCCTCAGTGTATTTTATGGATTCAGGTTTAACATCAAGGTCTTTAATCCATTTTCAATGAACTTTTGTGTATGGTCTGAAGTAGTGGTCCAATTTCATCTTTCTTTTTGCAGTCTGACTGGTTTTCCCAGCACCATTTGTTAAAGTGGCTTTCTTTCCTCCTCTGGATTCCTTTGTTGTTTATGTACATAACATTTAACTGTCAATATGTTTGAAGGTTTACTTCTGGGCTTTTCATTGATCTGAAAGTCTGCTTTTATTTCATCATCACACCGTTTTGATTAATACAGCTTTATTATCTGTTTTAACATCAAGGGCTAGAGTGCCCCCTATCATCTCTTTCTCAGTATTACTTTGATAACTGGAGAATTTTATGATTCCATACAAACATTAGCAGCAGTTGTTCTGACCTTGAAGATGAAATTTTGATAGGGATTACATTGCATCTGTATGTTTTCATTCACTATCACTATCACTATCATCCCATTGTTCATCAGTTTGTTCAAGCGGGCGCCAGTAACATCTCCAGTCATCCCTGTCACAAGCTAGTGTAGCCCAGTGGCATATTGGGGGCACTTTCAGGGTCAGGGGAATGAGGAACATCATTGTTACTATTTTTGGCATATCAAAGTAATGACACGGGTAGCTTGCCAGGCTCCGACGTGTGGGTGGGATACTCTTGGTAGCTTGCCGGGCTCTCCGAGAGGGATGGAGGCTTTTGGGGCAGCCTCTAATCACCTTTACAGGTGTTCCCTGTCAGGCATATATTCAGGCAGGATAGTCTCAATAGCCTGCCGGGTTCTCTGAGAGCGAGAACTAGACAATGAGAGGTCACACGGCAGCAAATGCCTAATGTTTTCATTAGTAGATAATAAATTCTTCTGATTCATGAATAGAATATTTTTCCATTTCCAGTTGCTGGAGTGATAGCACAGCGGGTAGGGTGTTTGCCTTGCATGCAGCCAACCTGGGTTCGATTCCTCTGTCTCTCGGAGAGCCCGGCAAGCTACCGAGAGTATCCCGCCCGCACGGCAGAGCCTGGCAAGCTCCCTGTGGTGTATTGGATATGTCAAAAAACAGTAACAAGAAGTCTCACAATGGAGATGTTACGGGTGCCCGCTCTAGCAAAGTGATGAACAATGAGAGGACAGTGCTACGGTGCTTCTTGTGTCTTCCATTTTTTTTCTTTTTCTTTCTTTTTTTTTGCTTTTTGGGTCACATCCAGAGATGCACAGGGGTTACTCCTGGTTCTGTACTCAGGAATTACTCCTGGTGGTGCTCGGGTGACCACATGGGATGCTGGGAGTGGAACCCAGGTCGGCCGCATGCAAAACAAATGTCCTACCTGCTGTGCTATCGCTCCAGCCCCTATTTCTTTGAATAGTGACTTATTCCATTTCATTGTGTCTTCTATTTCTTTGAGTAGCACTGTAGCACTGTCCTCCCATTGTTCCTTGATTTGCTCGAGCGGGCTCAGAAACGTCTCCATTGTGAGACTTGTTACTGTATTTGGCATATTGAATACGTCATGGGTAGCTTGCCAGGCTTTGCCGTGTGGACGAGACACTCTCCGTAGCTTGCTGGGCTCTCTGAGACGGGCGGAGGAATCGAACTTGGGTCAGTCGGGTCAGCTGTGTGCAAGGCAAATGCCCTACTCACTGTGTAGTTTTCAATATATGTCTTTCTCTTCTTTGTTAAATGGATTCCTATGAACTCTTTTTTTTTTGTTACATAGTCATAAATGAGATTTTTTTCTTTCTTTTTTTTTTAATTTTTATTAGTGAAACACCGTGAGGTACAGTTATAGACTTACAAATTTTTGTGCTTGGGTTTCAGTTATATAATAATCAAGTACCCATCCCTCCACCAGTGCCCATTTTCCACCACCACAGGTCCCAGTATCCCCCCCCCCCCCAACACCCCCCATTCCACCCTGCCTCTGTGGCAGGGAATTCCATTTTGTTCTCTCTCTCCTTTTGGGTGTTGTGGTTTGCAGTAGAGGCATTGAGTGGCAACATGTTTGGTCTGTAGTCTACTTTCAGCATGCTTCTATCCTGGGAGGATCCTCCCAACACCCTTTATTTGGTGCTCCCATGGTGTTCTTTTTTCTAATTTTTTTCTTTCTACATCAATTTTCATATAAAAGTGCAATTAATTTTGTGTCTTGATTTTGTAGTCAGCCATTTTACTTTAGGGCTTGTTGTTTCTAAATAAGTTTTTTTGATGTCTTTAGGGTTTTCTATGTATAGTATCATGTTGTCTGAAAATGGTGAGTTTTACTTCTTTTCCAATATGAATTCCTTTCATTTGTTTTTCTTATATAATTGCTAATAGCAGAGGCATGGAATCCCTTGCCTTGTGCCCTATCCTTAGAGGAAAGGCTTTCAATTTTTGTCACTAAGTACTATAGTAGCTGTGGGTTTCTCGGATATGGCCATTACTATGTTCTAGTTAGTTCGTTTTATCCTCATTTTGTGGAGAGCTTTATTATAAAAGGGTGGTGAATTTTGTCAAACATTTTTTATGCATCTGTTGATATATCATATGATTTCTATCTTTCCTTTTTTTGATGTGGTGAAGATAAGGATTTTAACTCTCCTGCACATCATAAACAGATGATAATCACAACGGTTACAGGGTAGATTACTATCTCTATGTGTACTATAATAAAAGAACACAAAGAAGTAAAATTCATCTTATTCCCTTTGCTTTTCACCCCTCTATCTACACATACTTAGCCCTCTCAGCATCCAGGAGAAGGTACATTGAAGGCTGCACCCCAGCAGTCTACCAGTTTAACCCATTTCTAGACATTTTGGTATTCTTCTAGATAAATATTTATTATTGTTGTTCTTGTTGTTATTTTGGGTTTTAAGAACACACCTATTAGTGCTATGGGTTTCTCCTGGTTTGGTGCCCAGGGCCAGCCCCAGGTCTCTCACATGCAAAGCATGTGCTCTAGCCCTTTGAGTCACTCCCTCCCCCAACTCCGGCCTTAGTGAAGTATTGTAATTTAGCACTAGCACTCTTTAGTGAGTCCTTTCCAGAAAACAGCTGGAGGGGACCAACACTAAAGTGACAGTTGCTCCTTTTGGGGCAGGGTTGAAGGATGAGGCTTTGGAAAACACTGAAGGGGAAAATAGAGGCTCAGGGGCCAGAACCATAGTACAGCGGTTAAGGCATTTGCCTTCATGCGGCCTACCTGGGTTTGATCCCTGGCATCCCATATGGTCCCCCCAAGCATCACTAGGAGTAATTCCTGAGTGCAAATCCAGGAGTAACCCTGCTGGAGCATCTCTGGTTTGGACTCAAAAAGACCAAAAAAAAAAAAAAAATTAAAAAAAGACCTGTCAGTCACGCCCATGAACTTCCCTTGATGCCAAAAAAGCTCATTAATTGGCCGTGATACAGAGACTCATAAATAAATATCAAAAGAGATCAACAAGCTGCAGTCACCATCCAGTTAAAAAATTTAAGTCCAGCTGTTTAAATTTTAAAATTTAAAATTTTAGAATTCCTGGAGCGACATCTCAAACTCTACACCACTGATATATGAGGAGTAGCATACCACATTGGATGAGATGTAAAATGGAAGGCAACCAATGTTAATTAAGAAAATATAGTGGAGTTCATGCCCAACTCAGTCAGCCCAATCAGTGGCTGAATAAATAGTAGTACTCCTACATTAAAAAGAAAGAAAAGAAAATATTAACTCACAAGGCTTAACGTGTAACATATTAGTAATCTCTTATATAAGGTCACAATGGCTCTATGGTGAGATACTAACAATCTTCACACATTTTCTTCTAAGGAAACCTTTTGTCATCATTTTTAGAGAATTATTCATAAAAATAAGCAATATCAAATTATTTAGGGCCTGCTATTGGGGCAGGCTTGAGTATTGGTTGAGAAATTGGAAATAATGGTGATGGGAAGGTGCAGTGGTGGTGGGATTGGTATTGGAATATTGAATGTAATAAATCATCATGAACAACTTTATAAAAGTAAATAAATCAATAAAAAGAAGGGGAAATGAATACGTAAAAGTCTACTCTGAAAAAAAGAAGGAAAGAAAATAGGGGTTCACTACAGAAGAACCGTGGAGGGCAGGTGAGTGCGAGTACATGCAGGGCTGAAATCTGATGGGAGGCTGCAGGGGGGCTGGGGTGGGTTAGGGTGCAGGAAGTGCCTGCTCAGAGCAGCCTTGTCCTTGCAGGTCGCGGGACTTCTACCACACCTGCTACTGCCTGAGCGGCCTATCCATCGCCCAGCACTTCGGCAGTGGGGCCATGCTGCACGACGTGGTCCTGGGGGTGCCTGAGAATACTCTGGTAAGCTGGGGCAGGGAGGCTGACCCCGCTTCTCCTCAGGAGCCCAGGAGGGCATGAGCTCCACAATCCTGTTGTGTGGACGGCTGGGCCCCAGGGGTTCCCTGGAGTGGTGCATCTCCAGATAAACTCTGGGCTTGGTAGGGGCAGGTTTCCATCTTGCCAGGTTTTATACCCCCTTTTTTGTGGGGGACCCACTGGCTGTGTTCAGGGGCCACTTCTGGCAGTACTTGGGGGGACCATACGGTCCCAAACTTTGAACCTGGGGCTCCATATACCACGCATGTGTTCTAACCCTTAAGCCATCTCCCCAGCCTCTGGGTGGGTCTTTATCCTAAAGTCTAGGACCCAGGTTCCTGGTCCCCTGGGTCTCTGCTGAAGAAGCCACAGGTAGTGTTATCCAGTGGTCCCTGTGCAGCCCACTGTCTGCTCCTGAACTTTGAGCTCCAGTCCCTCCAGAAATGACATCTCAGATCTTCCCTTCTGTAAATGAGGTCATCCCCAAACCTGTGCCTCTGTGTCATGTTTGTGCCCTCCGGAGGGGCACTTCACAATACATACGGTGTGTGATTTACTCTTTTTTGTTTACCTCCCTCAAAAATGGTTAGCTTATTCCTGTGCCCACCCTCGAGTGACCCGAACACAAGAGACAGGCCTGAGCCCACACAGGAGCCTTCACCTCACACCGACTGACGTGTTCACAGCTGCCAGATGTGGGGCCCGTACTAAGGGTCACCAGCTGTTTCCAGTAGAAGAAACATCTATTGGTTGGAAAGCTGTTCCACCCCATTAGTGATCAGAGAACAGAGTAAATGCTGTTTTATATTTTTCCAGCCTTGATATTTTTCTCTCTTTGCCTCCAGTGCAACCCCCTTCCAATCCCCATCTCACTCCCAGGAGTCACTTTTCCCTAAATCTGGCATTGCGCATATGCCTGCGGGATTTTGTACTGGTGCTATCCTGTATGTGCCCAGGAGCCCCGAGGGCTGTTGCACACTCTCTGCCTCTAACAGAAGACTTAGCAGCGCCCGTCACTCAGCTCCTCGCCCTGCAGAGCCTGGCTTTGTTTTTTTCTTTTTGGATCACACCCTGCGATGCTCAGGGGTTATTTCTGGCTCTGCACTCAGGAATTAATCCTGGCGGTGCTCGGGGGACCATATGGGATGCTGGGAATCGAACCCGGGTCAGCCGCGTGCAAGGCAAATGCCCTACCCGCTGTATTATCACTCCAGCCCAACGGAGCCTGGCTTTGTGTCGCTCGCTCCCTGGGCTTTCCCTCATGCAGAGGCATCAAGAGAATTTCTCTGTTCTCCTGCTGATTGACGTTGAGACAGTTTCCATTTTTATTTTGCAACTAGTGCTGTTGTGAGCACTCAGGTATTAGTTTCTCCAGAAGGGTCTTTTTTTTCTCTTTTTGGGTCACACCTAACATTGCACAGGGGTTACTTCTGGCTCTGCAAGAGCAAGTACATGCAAGGCTTGTACTGATTCACTCAGGAATCACTCCTGGCGGTGCTCAGGGAACCATATGGGATGCTGGGAATCGAACCCAGATTGGCCGCATGCAAGGCAAACGCCCTACCCGCTGTGCTATCGCTCCAGCCCCATCTCCAGAAGGGTCTTGCCGGGCTGAAGGGAATATGCCCATTTGCCTTAACTGCAAGGTGACGAACCACTCCCCTCACATGCCGACGGGCAGATCAAAGAACTTGAGTCCATTTTCAACATTTGCTGTTGTTCTATACAATTATTCCATTTGTCTGAATGTTTGGTTTGCAGGTTTGGAATATGAGGTTATATGCAGTGGTGCTCTGGGACAATTTCCAGCTCGGTGCTTGGGGGACCCACAGGCCAGGCTAGGGATCCAGTCTAGGCCTCCTGCATACAGACCTTTTGCTCCAGCCCACTGAGCCATCTCTCTGGCTCTGATTGTTTATGTTGGGTTATTTGGGGGGTTTTGGCTCAGGGGCTCCTTGTGATGGCACTATGGGGTTACTCCCAGTGGTGCTCAGGGAACCTATGTTACTGGGGATGAAATCTGGGTTTTCCATATGCAAAGCCTTTGGTCAGCCCTCTGAGCCATCTTTCTGGCCCAGTGGATGTTTATATTTTGGTATAAGGTTGCTCATAGTATTCTCTTAAGTTTCAAATCTTGGACCAGGGAGGTAACTCAAGAAAAACCCCAGCTGCTCCTGGTTCCCCTAGCACTACTAGAAAAGCACCATGTAGGGGGCAGCTCCTGAGCACTACTTGGAGTGACCCAGGAAGAGAATTCTTTTAAATCACCCCTAAAATTATGTTTCATTCTCCCAAAGAGGTGGTGGCGTGAGTGTTGGGTTTAGGGTTGCACTTTCTCAATCCTAAAGCTTCTGTGGGGTTTCAGTGGGACAATATCAGAGAAATTCATTAAGACCCAACTCTTTTACTACAAAGTAGGACTGTGGCCCTTTTTCTTCCTTGATTATAAATGTAAATTACCTTCATTATTTGAATATAATTTAATAGAATATACATGAAGGCATAAAGAAGCAAATTAAAAACCTATCACTTGTTTTGATACATACCCAGTATTTGCCTCTTCATGTACATCACATCCATGAGCACATTTATTTTTGTTGCTATGGGGTCATCCCCAGTGGTGCTTAGGGGGAACTAGGGTGGCATTTAGAGGCCAGTATTGTTCTGGGGATGGAACCCAAACTTGTACATGCTCACTTGAGCCACACCTCTGTGATGTGTGCCCACAAACAGTAAAAAACTGTGTGTGTGTGTGTCTTTCCAAGGCTTAGGGGGCCCTAGGGCCACTCCCAGTGATCAACCTAGCAGTTATAAAGGCCTGAGGATGTGAAACTCTGGAGTCAGGGAACACCAGGCCACCCCATGATGCTCAGGGAGCTGCATGCTAACAGTTTGAACTTGGATGTGCGTGCTCCTAGTTTCCTGAGCTGTTCCTACTCTTAAAGAACATCAAACAAGTTCTTTAAGAGTAAGTTTGGGCTAAGAATGTAGCTCAACAGTTGGAGAGCACTTGCCTTTTATATGTGAGGCCCTGGGTTCCCTCCCCAGCACTACAAATAAAATTAAAAGTAAGTTTTGCATGCTATTGTATATCCTGATACAGCATGTACATTTGAAGCATTTTCCCATATTGTATACATGCATGCATGTGTTTAATACACTGCTGGACTCAGGTTGCTAAGATTGCTTGATAAATAAATCCAAAATATACAAATATAAATATTCCATAGATACTTGAAAACATGTTTTTTATTTGTTTATTTTGGTCACACTCCTGTCCATGCACTCAGGAATCAATCCCGGTGCTGCTCAAGGAACCATGCTGGAATACCAGGCAGAGAACCCGGGTAGCACGTGCAAGGCAAGCACCCTACCTGCTGTACTCGCTTGGCATGTTTTTAATGGCTCTCTAATCTTGTTTTGTGTTCTGTGTAACTGCAGAACATTTTTACCAATAACCTGGATGAACACTTGGGACAGTGTGATAAATCTCTGTGCAGTTGCTGATTCCTTATGTAAAATTCTAGGCCTGGCACCGTGCATGCTTCCCAGGATGGCTGGGAAGATTAACCCTACATGTGCTCTTTCCTTTGCAGCAGCCCACACACCCTGTGTACAATATCGGGCCGGAAAAAGTGATCCAGGCCACTATGCACTTTCTGCAGAAGCCCGTTCCAGGCTTTAAGGAGCATGAAGATGAGGCATCCACGGAACCTGCCTCCAACTAGAGGCCACGGGGTCCTGAAGCTCTGTGCTCCCCTCCTTCCCTCCAGACCAGGGTTTTCAGGTGTCCGTGTGAGTGCGTTCTGTGCTGCAAAAGCCTTGGCCCCTCTGGAGGGATGGTTCTTTGTCCTTTCCCACCAAACAAAACCTAACGGATGGCTCTGGGTTTGGAAAACACAATGCCGGGGTTGTTAAAAATTCTTCCCATTATCTGTCAAACCAAAAATCTCTCAGCCAGCATCAGCCTGGTCAGGGTCGATGGGGGAGCAGTGCATGCCGGGAAGAGCAGCCCCTCCCCACCAGCTCCCCACTCCAGCAGCCGTACTGATGTGAGTAACATCATGAGCACCGACAGTCATCTGAGCCGTGACTGTGAAGCCCACTTGCACGCCACCTTTAAGTCACCAGGAATGAGCCCCTCCTCCTGGGTGGAATTACATCAGTTATATACAGAGGTGGCGCTTTGGGTCCCATCATCAGGAATTCTTAGAAAACTCCTTGCTGTGGGTCTTCACCCGGAGGTGCCTGAGGCTCTCACCTCCTCTCCGGGTCATTGGAGAGGGAAAGGAACTAGGGGTGGGGTGAGGCAGGGTGGGGGGGGGGATGGGAATGTCTCTGTGTGGGTGTGGCCCGCTGAAGCACTGAGCAGCCCATCTCCCCCACAGCGGGAGTGAGATGAGACCCGGGAAAGCAATTATGACTGGAAATGAACCTCTCATTCAATTCTGTGCCAGAGGAAGCCACCCCAGGCTCCAGCCCTGCACCCCGCCCCATCATGTACCATGTTGTACTTTGTCACTCCCAAGCCTGCAGCCCGTGATCATTCTGTGTTGCCCCACCTTCCCCCAGTCTCCTGATCCGTCCTCCCCCAGACAGTGTTGTCTTCTCTCACCCGGAGTATTAACACGACTAAGTCTTTCACCTTAATCTCTGACTCAGGATTTATTCACATCCTGCCCGTTTGGGGCTCACAGCAGTAAACCTGCACTTGGCCAGTTGGCTGGGACTTGGTCAGCGTGGTTGTGGCAGAACCGAATACCATCCTGTACTTCAGCTTCTGCTGCACACATGGATCCCCCCTTTTTTTTTTTTGGCATTGTCCAGATGGGTCATCTGCCCACTGTTCCGGGCACAGCCAGTTCCACGCCACTGATGGGCCTTTACGTGAGCAGCTGTTGGTGGCGGGCAGACGGCAGCAGGAGGCATTTCTCAGAAACTGGCCATGTGCTGCCTCTAATTCCCTCCTGCTTTGGTGTATCGGGCTATGTATTACCTCCTTGAAATAATAAAAGAATAACATTTTCTAGGATGTCTCTGTGATGGGTCACCAGATCATTTCTGCAGCCTGGGCCAGAGTTGGAGGGGTCAAAGCTGCTCAGAGATGGTTAGTTTCTAGACTGCGCATGGGCACGCAGTGGCAGAGTATGGACTTGGGAGCCACATCACACCGGTGCCGCCGCCAGCTGAGGACTAGGAAGAGCTTGCTATACCCTGACATGCCAGGAGCCCACTTTTGTCACACTTTGTTTCCTGGAGTCTCCCCGGCCTGGGAGTGGGGACTGTGGGTGGGGAGACAGAGCACCGACAGTCATGAGCTCTGTGATGTGACCGTCTCTCTGGAAAAAGTGCTCCCAGGTGGTACCCAAGGCCAATTTGCTGGCCAGCTGGCCAGGGTAGATTCTGCCCCTGGTTACTCTTTTGCTGGCGAAAGCTTGGGATCTGCTGTCTTGGCTGCGGTGTAGCCTCCAGATCATCCCAATCAAAGGCAAAGTCTCTAACAACAGTAACCACAGGTAGTAAGAGATTAATAGTAATAAATGTGGCTCAGAGACAAAAGGGATTGCTTCAGTCTGGCTTTCCACTAAGGAGGGAGGATATGAGTTGAGCCCCAAAGAGTAAGTAAAGTCTGTCTAGGCAGAGGACAGGGCCTTTGATAATCTCTCTGGGGGTTTCCTGTGCTCTCACTTTCTGCTCCCACTGGGTTTAGAGGGTTTCTCTTCCTAAACAGCATTCACCCTGGAGGCAGAATCTCAGATTTAGGAAGGGGACCCCCAAAGTAGAAGGCACTTAGAAAGCATTCATGGTGTGTTCCCCTAAATATTTTCCTCAACAATAAAGATACCAAATGAGCATCATTTCTACTTCCATATAGGGCCACTTCACACCTTAAATTCTTCTCTGACCTACCGTGAGTGCTGCTGTGTGGGTTGGTAAGCCTAACGGTCTCCTGGGAGGAGGAGGGACACCTCAACCCTGGCACTGAAGTGATTTAAGGTAGTCCCTTAGATAATTGGGTTCAGCATGAGCCACCCTCTCTTCAAGGCAGCACTTCCGAGTCAGAATTCACCATTAGGGGCCACAGAACTGAAAGGATTGCAGTGCAAGCAGAAACATAGAAACATTAAGTAGACATGATCTTCTGAGCACTGCTAGGAGTAACCTCTGAGGACCACTGGGTGAGGTCCCCAAGCATAGAAAGAAGCCATAGCACTCAGGACCAACAGTAGTGTCCTTGACTAAGCCTCTTCTTGTGAAAAGCACATGCACATTAGAGCTCTGTGTTGTCCTTCCACTGATCTAAGCCCACGATAAAAAAATAAGGGGGGGGGTTTGTTCCTTCATGGTGATTTAACTTAGCAGAGAGATGGCATTCAGGAGGGGCGGCTGGTTACACGCCCTTGGCTGTTTCATCAGCATAAAGTATTTGTGGCTAAGGCCAACATCCTGCTGTGGAAATGGAAGGACTTGTCTCCCACCATGTTTACACTGATCACGCTTCTTTGTGGAAATGGGTCGCCGGTGTGCCCCCATATGCGCCCCCAAAGCATCAGCACCTCAACATAGAGGACTGGGAAATGGATGTCGTTTGTGCCTGCAAACATCCTGGGTACACTGTTGGTGTGGCATAGGCCACATCTTAGCCAAGATTCAGCTGTCTCTCATTCACTCTCTGTAGTAGGTTCAGTTCAAGGACAGTTTGCCTTTCAGATACGGATAATAGGCACTGAAACTAATGGGACACTCAGGTCTATGAAGGGGCCCACAGTATTCTTTTATTTGGGTACAGAAGTCCCTCCTGATCCATGGAGATTTATTCTATGACACCCTCCATCTCCCAGTGAATGCCTGAAACTAAAAGTATTGCCAAACCATATACATATATATGTATATATATATTATATCCTATACACATACACCTAAGGTAAAGATTAACTTGCACATTAGAAACAATAAGAAATTAACAACTAAGGATAATTATAACTATTGTAATAAAAGCTATTGATACATAGTCTCTGAAGTACCTTATTATTTTGGCTTTGCTACCACACCTGACACTCCTAGCAGGGCTCAGGAGAGGAAGACCAAGAATCAAATCCAGGTGAAGCTTGTGCAAAGCAAGTGCCCTACCTGATGTACTATTTTCCTGGCCCCATCAAAGACCCCCTAATGTTTGGGGATCTCAGTTCACCATGGGTAGGTAGGTAACACACATTACGGGAAGTGAAACTGCAGCTTAAGGGGGGAACCACTGTACTCCTTTGGAGGGGGGAAGCAATTTGCTAATAGTATATTCTACCATTTACAGTGAGAAGCAGCATACTTTTATATAAAGAGCTAAGTACAAAATATTTTAGGTATTGCAACCAGTCGGTGATATTTGCACCTACTCAATTGTGTTCTGCCATTTAGCACAAAACTGTCACAAAGTGTGGTTGGGTTCCAACAAATTTTCTATCCTTTCAGTATTCTTCCGCAACTTTCATGGCTGGGATGTTTTTCATGTAATATTAGTAGTGTCAAATGGCAAATGTACTTGGGAGGTAAAGTTTGGACTAAACTCCCTAGTTACCTCTGTACTGCTCAGGGATGTCAGTGCCTTTCACTTAGGCATCATCACAACCAACAGAAAACCTGACCCAATCAGGCTTAAAGCAACAGGGAGAGCATCTCCTAGCCAGAAATGTTCAGGAAGTAGCTTGGGATTAATTTATAGATTGGAGGAGGTTTCTCTTCCTATGTCCATATCAGCTCCAGCCTCAGGCTCTCTTCCAGTAGCTGTCCAATGGCAGTAGCCAGACTCCAGACCCAAAATCCTTCGAGGATGAAACTCAGCTCTCAAGAAAGCTGTCCTAGCCTTCCTTTCCTGCGAGTTCACCGGAACACTGGTCAAGCCTTTCTGAGAAGCCAGAATGCAGTGCACAGGCCTGAATTCTGGCCACCTGCTACTCCCATGAGTGGGAAATGGGGCTCACCATCTAAGAATGAGGAATAGAAAAGCCCCAAACACCAATTAGGGTTGTAGACAGAAGGGGAAAATGAATGAGGTAGATCACCACTGTTTTCTTCAGGACAGTGATTTCTACTGTGAAATAGAACATGCAAGTGGGAACGGTTGGCTCATCTCCACCTGTGGGTACCAAAGGGCTTAGATGGGCTTGTTCCCCTGTTCACAGAATCAGGCCTTGACTGATACAAGTCAATGATTTTTTAAAACAAAAATTTTGGTGCTGAAACCCGGGAACAAACCACAATTATTTTATTAATGAAATAAAATTAGATTTTTTTTGTTTTGTCTTGGTGGGGGTGGGGTAGGGGTGGGGTGTTCACTACCTAGCGGTAGTGCTCATGAGCTAATCCTGGAACACGTCTTAGGGACAACTGCTGGCAATGCTCAGGGGGACATGCAGTGCCAAAAATCGAAACTGGGACTCTTACATGCCATCCATGTGCTCCAGCCCATTCCAGCCCGTTGAGTTATTTCCCTGGCCCTAAGTCAACCTTTGTAATCTCTCCCTGTTTATATTAGTAATTTGTCCATTTTGTTGGTAGCAAGCTAGGCTGAAGACAGTCCACAGGCTTGTGTTTGCCACAGTGACTAATTCAGAGCTAAGCGTGTGGCTGAAAATAGACCAGAGAGCTGATAAGGAGAAGAGGAGCTCTGTTCTATTAGGAAGCATGGACAGTGTGCCTGAGGACCCCTACAACTGTCTTCCTACCTAGAGGCAAACCAGCCTGAGAAGTCAGTACCCAGACACCCTGAGAAACGTCTTGAGAAACATGGGCACTGATCATGGGCACTGATCACACCGCTCCTGAAACATAGCCTGCATTTCTCCATTTTGAGTCAATCTGAGTTGTATTACACTTAACTTTCAACTAAAATTACTGAAAAAGTGGGCAAAACTGTTTCCAATCAGCCCTAGGGTCCCGCAGGGCTGTCCAGCTGGGTGCTGCCCTCTAATATCCACCCAGTGACCCCCCCACAGTTCCTCCTGCTTTACTGCCTCTCCTCATCTGATCCCTGAGTCAGCCTCACGTGGTGGGTGTGGCAGGTGCTCTATCTACATTTTACAACTGGAGAAACAGGTCGGAGAGCTTACTGCTCTGAGTCCTCCTCCTGGCTCCAAGTGTTGGAGGCTGAACCTGAACCCAGATCTGTTGTCTCCAAAGCCCACACACACTCCCACCACCCAGCTTCAAAAGAAAAGTTCTAGGGCATGGGGGTGGAAGAGGGGAGGATGAGGGTGTGTGGAACGGGCAGTGGCTAGTCGGATCACTATCAGG